TGGGAGGGTGATTGAGCACTGGCACAGGTTGCCCAGAGAGGTTGTGGACTCTCCATCATTGAAGATATTTGAAAGCCATCTTGACACGGTCCTGGGCAACCAGCTCTAGGTGGCCCTGCTTGAACAGGGCAGTTCAGATGAGATGCACTCCAGAGGTCCCTGACAACCTCAACCAGTCTGTGATTCTGTGAAAGGATCTCAGCCACCGAGGTAATAACCATACTTGGACACCCCAGCCTTTCAACAGAGCTCTTATGCCTCCATATTGGCACAACCAGCCTCAGCAAGTGAAGATAATAACCTTACTCAACTCCGATACCTCAACACCGTGACAAACAAGCAACAGATCTTATTTCACAGATAAACCCCATACAATTGCAGCTGTTGGTTCAGTGACATTACTGAGGCCTACGTCTTCGCAAGCCAGGAGCTGGAAATACTCAGCCTGTTGCAGCTTTGTGTAACATTCCTGGGACTAAGTACTGCATACTAGATCTGCTCTCTGTTAGGCTCAAAGCAAGCTAAACATTAACAGTTGTGAAATAAGCCAAAGCAAACCAGTGAAGAAATTTCATCTTTGTGATACCAACTAAGTTTGACTAGAAGTCTCTCAAACATTTGGATGTTGCTATCATTCCAGGAAGCTGAAACTGCTAAGAGGAATGCTTCCTACTGAAACTTTATCTGAAGGGAAAAAACCCCATACAAAACCGAAACTGGACCAAGCAAGACTGAGAATGAAAAACACCAAAAAAATCCCCCAAAGCAGTCCAAAAAACTATATGGAATATTGTGAGACAAAAATTTGTACGTTTGGAAAGCTGATTGTCCTCAACCCAACAACAACAAAACAAAACTGATGTCTGTAGGATAAATTAATTCTGTTTTCCTTTTTGCTCAGAACAATTCATTTCTACATCATTATCTTCAATCTAGATAGGTGATCCATCAACCTCAGCATAGCTTCTCCGATGTAATGCAACAACTTGCTTGGTCCAAGCATTTTCATCTTATTTGCAAATAGTTGAATGTTTCTGTAGATTAAAAATTCACACATTTTGCTCCTTCATTTGTGTTTTTGAATTCTATTTGAAAACATGTTTATTTTTTCCCCGAGGACAGTAATAACAAGAAGGAGAAAAATGGCAGAAGGGAAATATATGATTATTTAACTTTCTGACTGAAATTAGTGAACATGTTGGACAGAAAAAAGCAGCCAATGAGAAAGAAGACATCTCCATGCACATTCAGCTTTGAGGGTAATGTACTAAAAAATAGAAATAGAAAAAATAATTAGTGAAAAACCTGAAAAGCTTTTTGTTTTGTTTGCTTGCTATGTCCTAATGCAGCAAATACCTGTAGTGCATTTAAAGAGAAACAAAAGAGAATAGAAGGATAACCCCCAGAAAAGCTAGACAGAAGTGAATGATGCACAGTACAACGAATGATCTATATTTGAGCAGTGTTGTTCTAACACATGCCCTGGAGATCACTTTCAATCTATAAAGAGTTTATAGCAGGCTGAAAAAAGTGAATTTGACACTGTTGCATAATTCTCTTTTTTTGTGCTATTTCTTTAAAAAGCAAAAGTTAAGGGATTCCAGTGAGAAACTACTATTTCCAGACTGGCGAAGGTGAGGGAACAAATTAAAACAGAATAAAATGCAATAATATCAAATTAACATTATGTCACTGAAGAAAAAAATATAGGAAATTGTTTTTTCTCATTTGTGTACAAGACAGCTGGGGACTACGTGTCTTTAGGCATGGCATTTGCTAATTTTTAACAAATAGATCAGGTCTTTTTTTTTTGTCACTGTCACATTCCTGCCCTACTTCTACACTAGAAAATGTGTAGGATGAGAGCAGGGAAGATATGCTAGTGTATTACTGACACACAGCAGCTCCATTTGAGCAAGTGCTTCAGGATATGCCTCAAGCAACCTTCATATGTTAAATACTCGTATGAGGGGAAAAAGTAATTTTTCCAGCCTGAAAGGTTTATTGGATTCTCAGCTATGGTTGCTCCAAAGACTGACTGAGCAAAGCAGATATCAGGTAAACATTTCAGGCACAGATTGTTTCTTAGACTTAGGAAAAGCCAGGATTGTCCTGGCTTACAGTATACAGACAGCCGCACAACAAAAAAATTGCATTATTCCAGATAAACAAAACGCATGAGTATGCAGTGCAAGAGGAAGTGAACTAGATTTGTTTCCTAGATTCAGATAACATCTCATAAGAAAATTCTGAAGATGAAAAGACAACAAATTTAGAATTTACATAAACTAAAATATATGTTAAATTAGATACAAGAGCAGCATGTGAATTTTGATATCAAGTATGATAAATGTAACCAAAGATCCCCTGATGAAATGAAAGACAGTCATTTTCCTACAGGAAGACAAAAGCTGTACTGAAGGATAAAACCACATAAGAGTGCTAATGGGTTATCAAATTAATACAGTCCAAGTCTCTTAATTGCAATATCTCCATAGATAGTTTATTGTCTCTATTGCCCCACTTTAGAAAAGCAATTTTTAAGTCAAAGCTCTCCTCCTCCTCCCTCCCCCCCCAAAAAAAAACCCCTGTTTACTGAAAGCTTATTTTTAGACTTCTACATCCTGTTCCTGAGAAATTATGTGTCTTATTATTTCAGCTTAGGGTAAATATATAAACTCCCTTGTCCTTTAGGATACAGTTAATTACATTAATACGTTGAAGAACAATTATGTTATGCTGTCCATAATGAAAAAAAAAGGTGCCATTTTCTTCAATTTAACTGGTTACTCTTACCTCAAACTTCATTTTATAGTATATAAAAATAACTTAGGGTCACTCAATAAAGCACCTGCGTTGATTTAGCCAGTTGAATAAACCAAGATATTCCAAGTTAAAACAAACAAACAAGAATGTTTATTGAGTACTTTTCCTCTGAAAGATCTATGTAAATTTGCAAATTTCTCTGTGCACATAAATTTTAGCTCTCATTAAAATATATCTCCTTTCAAGAATGAACAGCCATTGAACATCATATGGTTGTAAGGAGAATTACCATATTTGTTATGTTGGTAACAAGATGCAAACACAATAAAGTTATTATATTATTTAATCTTCTGAGTGAGCATATTCAGTGTGAAATGGGTATCACATTGTCATGGTTTAACCCTGGCTGGCAACCAAGCACCACCCAGCTGCTTGCTCACTCCCCCGTGGTGGGAAGGGGGAGAGAGTCAGAAGAGTAAAAGTGAGAAAACTCATGGGTTGAGATAAGGACAGTTTAATAGGAAAAGATAAGGACAGTTTAATAGGAAAAGAAAAAGCCACGTGCACAAGCAAAGCAACACAAAGGATTCATTCCCTGCTTCCCACGGGCAGGCAGGTGTTCAGCTATCCTCAAGGAAGCAGAGCTCCATCATGTGTAAAGGTGACTTGGGAAGACAAACAACATCACTCTGAATGTCCCCTGCTTCCTTCTTCCCCCAGCTTGTATACTGAACATGAAGTCATATGGTCTGGAATAGCCCTTTGGCCAGTTGGGATCAGCTGGCTTGGCCATGCCCCCTCACAGCTTCTTGTATTCCTCACAGAGCATGGGAAGCTGAAAAGTCCTTGACTAGAGTAAGCCCTTAGTTAGCAACAACTAAACCATCAGGGTGTTATCAACATTTTCCTCATCCTAAATCCAAAACGCAGCACTATAACCAGCTACCAGGAAGAAAATTAACTCTATCCCAGCCAACCAGGACACACATGCTTTCAATGTCATATTCAAACTAACCTACAGCTAGTAAAAGTGTTGAACCTTCTGTACTGACAGAGTCTCCTGGGCATATAAAGCATTAGAGCAATGACTGAAAAGACATGATGATATATATTCAAAAAGGGTTTAAGTAAGCAGATTATGAATAAAAGATAACCTACTGTGCTTACCCCAGAGTAGCAATGAATACCATTACTTGCAACATGACTTCTAACCCTATCTGAAGGACAAGGCTTTCAGAAGTTTTCTACCCCACCAAATTCCACTGGAAAAGCAGAGGTTAAATAGAAACTCAAAATAAATATTGATAACTACTGAACATTGGTACCACTTTCTGTAACAAAGTTGTCTTTGCATGTTCCTCTTTCCCTTCCACACATCAACTTATGCAATGCTTGAGAAGTTTGCAAGATCTCACTTGATCATTTCTTTGAGCATTACAGCTGTAGGGCATACAGATAGGCATAGTTATAAATGACAGTTATCAGAGAATATATTACTCAGAAAAGACTAGTCATCAAAAAAAAGGAATACAATGTAGGTGACACACCACATACACATAGAAACATGATTTTTTTTTTTTCTTCCAGTGTGCCTGACCTATCTTAACATGGTCCTGAACTGCAAAAGATGGCTTTAATAAAACCTCAACTAAAGATAGCCAAGAACATCTTGAGCTGCGTTAGCAAAAGTGTAGCCATCAGGTCTATGAAAGTGATCCTTCCTCTCTTGAGCACTTGTGAGACCACATCTGAGGTACTATGACCTATTTTGGACTCTCTGGTAAGATGACAGGCATAGAAAGACACTGAAGCGAGTCCAGTGGAGGGCCATCAAGATGGCTGGGCCTGGAGATCATGATCCATAAGGAGTAGTTGAAGGATCTGGGTTAGTTCAGCATTCTGAAGAGAAGGCTCAGGGAAGATGATCTTGTCATCTCTCTCCTCTATACTGTCCCATGAGGTGGCTGAACCCAGACTCTTCTCAGAAGTACACAGAATCATAGAATCCTTTGGGTTGGAAGGGACCTTTAGAGGTCATCTAGTCTGACTCCCCTGCAGCAAGCAGGGACATCTTTGACTAGATCAGATTGCTCAGAGCCCCATCCAACCCAGCCTTGAATGTTTCCAGGGATGGGGAATCCACTACCTCTCTGGACAACCCGTTCCAGAAGCAAGTTTTACAGTTAATATGATGATGTTATATTGTGGAGTCTTGAGCTTACCTACAGCTTTGCAGTTTGCAAAGAGTATTTGCCACAGATCAGTTCATTTTATTCCTTCTTGGGTTTCACAGTTTTCACATTGACCACGGCCGCCCTCTCCGCCTCTGCTTTGTACTGAGGCTTCATTGCTGCTCTAACAACATGGGCACAGATCCGAGAATACCGGATGTAACTGAGCCCAGCCTGCCACCAGTAGGCCACCATGGTTGCGGCTCCCAGGGACACAGGGAGAAGTAATAACCAGGATAAGTCCAACTGGCTATTTGCTAAATGTTTTTCACAATGAAGGTGGTCAAGTGCTGGAATAGGTAGACAGACAGCTTGGGGAATTACTACTTTTAAAGGTGTTTAAAGTTTGACTTAGATGAGGCCTGAGCACTGATCCCTTGATCAAGTAATTTCTGGTGATTCTTATGTAACATATTAATTTCCCTTTGATCCAGCCTTCATGAAGATGAAGTCTGCAATAGGATCTGCATTTAAATTTCTCCTACCTAGAGCAACATAATGAAAGCTCTACTTTTGAGGCAGAAAAATTCTTCATTCCCAAAACATTATTTTACAACCATCTTTTTATTGTTTCAAATGACAAAGATAAAATATGCCCATAGAAAATGTCTGATTTAACTAGATTCTCCCCATTAACACTGATTTATACAGTCCTTTCATTTTTAAGGTGTCCTGAGTTCTATTAGGTTTTGATGTGATTTAGAAATCCAGATTACCCAAGAAATTTGGTGCCAGTGTAGGGGATAATTAGTAAATATTTGATTCCTGTTACAGTTGCATATGCAGGAAGTTAATCTAGCAATCATTGTTCCTAGTTAAAATCTACTTTACCGGGATGAAAAAACACTTTTAAGCCACCTGTCCTTTAAGTATCTTAGAAATTAAATCCAATAGCTACAAAACTTGCCTATGATCTGACATCCAAAGGTATATATCAGAAAGAAAGAAAACAAGTGTGTATATGTAATGCAGGTGTGAAGACAGCCACTTCAGTATTTTACTAATTAAAAATATGTATGCAAACTATCTTTTACAAACAAACCAACAGGTACTTGTAGACTCAAATTTAGAAGCAGCTTAACTATTCTAGTTATTATGGAAATGGGCCATTTCTTTTCTCCAAACTGAAACAGAAGATCACACCCTCAACTAATACCCTTTCAAGGTTAATTAAGATTCATTGGCACTATAATGCTCCATGAGGAGAAAGATCTTTATGTTTCCAAACTCACTAAAAAAGCACTTGCTAGATCCCTCACTCTATCTATCCATTTTTTTTTCATGTGAATACGAAGAGCCTGGATGAACCTCTGAAGCAGATGCAGTAGGTGGCACCACCATGAGGCTCTTCTCTCCTCAGGTGGTGGGGAACAGACATCATACCAGGCACAACCAACATGGTCCTGTGCTGGGTGTGGCTTAATCTACTTCAAAAGAGCTAGCTGATAAAACTGTAGTTAATTTGCTAATAAAAACAAACCACTTTCAGCAAATTTTTCTTCCCGCTGCTGCTGTTTCCTCCAGAAGGAATGACACCAGCTAGGCAGCTCTACCATCCCCACACATCATCTCCTGAACAACCACCCCAAGTGCTGGTTACCACAGCTATGGCAACATGGCCCTAGAAGTTATAAGATCCAGATATCCTACCTTATCAGTAAATCCACCTTTGCAGTTTCATTCAGATGGCTTACTATTTGTAAGGGAAACTATAAACTTTACCATCTCAATAACAAACTTGAAAACCTTTCATATGGGCAGAAACAAACTTCTACAGGAAATAGGACTTTCACCATTATGATAATCAAAGGACATTGATTTAGATTTTACTAGCACTGAATATTTCTCCTACAGTAGGTTTTATGTATTGTGCATGATTGTTATGCAATCACAGAAATTTATTTAGCACGATGACACTTCTTAAAGTAATTTCTAACCTATATAGATTTCAAAATTCTGCTAGTATCTCAAAAAGAAAAGGACCTCACTTATTTCATTGTATATCATGTATATTTTGTTTACAATATGGTTTCCATAGATGTGCCACTCCCTGATCATTAAACGTAGCATGCTTGATACTTTTAAGTGTGAGATAGCATTATATACTTATCCACATGTAAGAAAATAATCAAATACATATCTATCAAATTATGTTATATAAAAAGCAGTGTCATCATATAATTAAAGACAGTGGGAGGTATCTGCTGCATGAACAACTGAAACTCATTTTTTGAAACTCTCTAGTATTTGGTCCAAGGAAGGTGGGAAACCTTACTACACGCACTTTTGATCTGGAAAAAAAACCACCCCAAACATGAAGCTGATGTTGTATAGCAGTCCTACTGCCATATAAATGCTCTTGCTGCAGCAATCCAATCTTTGACATTTTCTGAATATTTAGAAAAAATAATTATGTTGAATAAATGTTGTCACAAGTTATTCAAAAAACTTTCTCTAGATAGAAGTGACTTTTTTTCTAAAGTAAATGACAATAAATTCTAAGCTAGAGGAAAAAATACAATTTAAACATAAGAAAAGGTTTTGAGCGACTAAATCAATTGAAACAAGTCGGTTCACAAGAGTGTTTTAGTTGAACATAATTCCTTACTTATTAACCATTTTGGCATCTTATGTACTTTCTTCAGACAGAAAAGCATCCCTATTGCAAGATGAAGAATCTATACTGTCTACTTAAGCATGTATAAATCCTTATCACTTTGAATGATGTATTGCACCTTTCTTGCATCCAAAGAGTTGTAGACAAGGCTGTATGTAAGATTCAACCTGTACTGGGTTGGGCTGAGATAGAGTTCGTTTTCCCCATAGCAGCCTTCATAGCGCTGTGCTTTCTACTGATGGCTAGAAAGGTGTTGATAACACACCAGTGTTTTGGCTACTGCTGAGCAGTGCTTACACAGCATCAAGGCTGTGTCTCCAACATTTCCCCTTTCCCACCAGTGGGCTTGGGGTGGGCAAGATCTTGGGAGGGGATGTAGCCAACCCATCTGACCCAAACTGACTAAAGGGATATTACATACCATGTGATGTTGTCTCAGACATAAAAGCTAAGGAAAAGAGGAGGAAGGGGGGCTTTTTTTTTTTTTTTTAAATGACATTTGACTTCTGGCGCAAGCACTACATGTACTGAAGCCCCGATTCCTGGGAAATGGCTAGATACTGCCTGCTAATAGAAAGTAGAGAATAAAGTCTTTGTTTTCCTTTTGCTACCGCACACTGCCTTTGCTTTTATTTAACTACCTTTATCTTGACCCAAGAGTTTTTCTTTTCCATCTCATTTTCTCCCTGCCTGTCCTGTTGAAGAGGGGAGCGACAGAGCAGCTTGGTTGCACCTGGTGTCCAGCAAAGGTCAACCCATTACACCACCCCTGAATTTTCTTATTACCAACAGCATACCCATTTCTTTCCACACTTCATTGTAGCCTGCAAGTCCAGTAAATGTAGTATTATTACTATTAGCAATAAGATTCGGGGACTGCATTAACTCTGCAAGGTCTCAGACTTAGACTTGTCAGGCTTCGCTTGGCTTGACTTGCTTGTGGCTTTTGTTATAACTTGTTTAGCTGTGATGGCAATTGTTTAATGGCCAGATGAATATTACTTAATTAGTTTTAGTTTTATCTTAGCTTTGAGCAATTGTGTTGTATAAAGCCTACTGTTATAGTAATTTTGATACTTTTCTGTAATTAACAGAGAAGAAGAAGAATAATAAGTAGCCTTCCTGTGTAGAGTGAACTATGACCCTAGAATAAAAAGGCAGAACAGAGAAGTGCAGTGTTAGATAATTATAAAGGCCCTGAAAGTACTAGCACATGATGAAAAAACAGACACCATCAGCTAGGTAGATTCTTCATTAGTCTGTTACTGGTCATTAAAGGAAAGCTGCCTTGGGAGCTAGATTTATCAAAGAGCTGGGATATTAAAAAACATACATCCAGCATGTGTAAATTATAACATATAGGGCAAATTTTGTATATTTGTAGAATTGCAGACCAACAAAGAAAAAGTAAAGTGTACAATTCTGGAAAAAACATAAAACAGCTCCCAGCAGACCCTAGAATAAGTAGCAAGTAATTTTCATCCTCGATATCATAATCCTTCTGGTAAAGAACCCAGGATGCTGATGATTTACCATAATCCTCCCCCACTTATTTTGAGGGAGACTAACGACAATGATCTTAAGATACAAAAGGAGCATAGGCTGGGTGAGTACGTGGAAAACATCAGTTCACTCCCAAGAATGCTACTAGGTATTGAAAACGTATCATTGTAATTAGCCTAATAATAGCCATTGAATGAGCTGGCAAAGATTTTTAATTAGACTAACTATATACATACACACACGTTTGATGCACATTTGTGGTGTTTCTTTTTATCCTCACAGAAATTTCACAGGGTCTTTGGTTTGCTACCCCCACTCTTAAAGCTTAGTCTGAAAAACCATAGCTCACTCAGGAGTTACTGCAAGCCTTCTGCCACACTGTTGATTTCTTCTGTATTCATTTCACTATACCCTGAAACTCAGATCCATGGATATCACTGATTTGGTCCTCCACACTGGAAATACCTGAACTCATTAATCATTTGAATCCAATTGTTTGAATATGACTAGATATGTATCATGTGGCGCTTTTTTTAACTGAAAAAGCCCGTAAACCAGGCAATATATATGCAAAAGGTCCTTTTCCAAAGAATGACAATTAAGGAAAAATAAAAAAAGTGTTAATGAGAATGTAATACAAGAACCACCAAGGCAAATTCCAGTCTTTCAATTCACACTATCAAGTATTCAAAGCAATAATAGAAGATTATGTCTTCCCTCTCTTCCAATTGTCCACTACGAAGATAAATGTCAGTAGGTTTTTCATAACAGTTAAAAAAAAAATACATTGAGGCATACAAAAAGTCTGCAAAAAAGTTACAAGAAAAAAATATTAAGTGTCATGAACTCATGAGAGTAAACATTCGCTCTGAATACTAACCATAAGTGTATTGCAGTAAAACTGTTACCAAACAGGGAAGGGAATGAGGGTATCTGTTTTAATCTAGTTACATACAGTTATAATTAAGCCATTTTGCATGGTCTGAACAACATTCTGTTAATGATTATTAAACTTAGGGTATCCTTAAAAACAGAAACTGGAGAACAGTAATTTGAAAATTTACGTTCAGATGGAAATAATGGATTTCTAAAGCTG